GAAGCCCCCAGTGGGAACGCCCGCATGCGTCCCACACGCTCAATTTGGCATTTTCACCCACCCAGTACCATGTTTCGTGGCCCCATAGGGAGCTCCACCGAAGTCCCCAGTGGGACCGCCCGCATGCGTCCCGGAAAACCGATTTGGCATTTTCACCCACCCAGTACAACGTTTCGTGGCCCCATAGGGAGCTCCACCGACGGCCCCAATGGTACCGCCCGCATGCGTTCCCCCCTACCCAGTGCAGCGCTTCGTGGCCCCATAGGGAGCTTCACCGAAGAAGATATTCACAATTGCGGTACCCACACAAGCATATGGTCAGGTCCTTCGCCAGGACAATTGGACTATTTTGAAATACTCCTCCTGTAGCGGGACACGCCCGACTTGAATCGAGTCGGACCCCAACTAACTCATTGTGGGGGGAGGCGAGGGCGACCACGAAATCGACCATACGACAACGAGTGCGAAGAGCGCGAACGAGTGATACCGTGGCTGGTACGAGTGATACCGTGGCTGATACCGAGGATAATTTGACTATTTTTGAATGTTCCTCCTGTAGAGGGACACGCCCGACTTGAATCGAGTTGGACCCACAACTCATTGTGGGAGGAGGCGAGAGCGACCAGTACGACAACGAGTGCGAAGAGCGCGAACGGGTGTCACCGTGGCTGGTACCGATCGAATCCGCCAGCGGGCGGCGCAGCCGTTGGTGCGCACCGCGCCCTCCCTGCACTGTCTTGCTGGTGCCACACCCTCGTGAGTTGGTTGTGAAAGACGGCCCCCTGGCATGCCGAGCCGATGCGTCCGTGCTTTGTGAAGCTGGCCATCGCTCGGACGTCCATTCCCTGTGTTTTTTGGGGGGTTCGTGCGTGGTTTTTTCGCCAGATGATCAAGGATGCTCCTCGATGGTCCTTGCCGAAGGAAAAACGCACACGTCTGAGCGATGCCAAGGAAAATACATACCTTTTTACCCATGCCTTCTGCACGCAGCCACGTCAGCAGCAGAATCTGGGTCAGGAGGGGCGTCATGTAGTTACCCTTTCCCGCAGGCCCAGCAATACCCACAGGCCCACCCCCCGCCACCCCCCTGCCCACTACACCGCGCGCTGGCGGACACTCGCTGGAGGGGCACGTGGGTGAGCGCGCACGAGTGTGAGTGTGAGCGCGTACGCGTCAAGCCAGCCAATTCCGACAGGGGCAGCGCAGACAACGCGTGCGCCTGCGCCTGGGCGGGCGCGCAGCTTTCCGGCGAAGTCTGCGCGGCGCTGAAACGGGAGCGACAATCCGCCCGCTCGCGCGGCCCCGCGCCCCACTTTCATGAAGGGGCCCTGGGACACAGAAGTACATCGACACAGATAACAGGATTCCCCATATTTTCCCATACCCGAGAGCGTGATCCACCGCCGCTTTACTGTGGAAAATTCCCCCCCACCCCTCTTCCTCCTGAGCCCGAGGGTCCCTCCCTCCCCCCCTCCGAAAATCTCCCCCCCTCCCCTGCTGGACCCCCCCCTTCCCCACGGCAAAACCCCCTCCCCCCTAACCCCCCCCACCTCCGGAAAACCAAGGGGGCTCACTACCGGTTCGAACCCCCCCCCTCCCCTCCGGAAAACCGGGGGGGGGGTTACTGCGGGTTCGAACCCCCTCCCCCCTCCCCTCCAGAAAACCGGGGGGGGTCACGACCGGTTCGAACCCCCCCCCACTCACCGCCGGCAAATGACTCCTGGGTCCCCACCACCGTGCGCACCACATCCCCCACTGCTGTCCCCAGCACCACTGTCCTCACCACCTCCGTCCCCGTTGTTCCCACCACCATCCCCACTGTCCCCACCGCTGCCCGCACCACTGTCGCACTGTCCCCACTGTCCCCACCACCACTGTTCCCACCACGGTCCCACTCTCCCCACTTTCCCTACGGTCACAAACCACTGTCCCACTGTCCACACTGTCCCCCCTGTCCCACTGTCCCCGCCGCTGTCCCACTGAGCTGTCCCACTGTTCCCACCACTGTCCCCACCACTGTCCCCACTGTACCTCTGTCCAATTGTCCCACCACCGTCCTCGCCACCGCCCTCACCACTGTCCCCACCACTGTCCCACTGTCTCCACCACATCCCCACTGTCCCCATACCACTGACCCCACCACCACCGTCCCATCCACTGTCCCAGTCCCCTCCAATGTCCCACTGTCCCCACTGTTCCCACCCGTGTCCCCGCTGTCCCCGCCAGTGCCCCCGCCAGTGTCTCACTGTCCCCACTCTCCCCATTGTCCCACCACGGTCCCTCTCTCCCCACTTTCCCCACGGTCCCCACCACTGTCCCACTGTCCCCACTGTTCCCACCATTGTCCCAGTGTGCCTGCCCACTGTCCCCGCCGCTGTCCCACTGTGCTGTCCTACTGTCCCCACTGTCCCCACCACTCTCCCCACTGAGCTACTGTCCCACCACAGTCCTCACCACCGACTTCGCCACTGTCCCCACCACTACCGTCCCCACCACTGTCCCACTGTCCCCACCACTGTCCCGCTGTCCCCTCACCACTGTCCCCACCACTGCTGTCCCCACCACTGTCCGCACCACAGTCCCACTGTCCCACCACAATTGTCCCCACCACCACCACCATTCCAACCACTGTCCCAATATCCCGACCACTGTCCAACTGTCCCGAGGAGCGGCAATCGTTTGCCGGCGGCGAGGGGGGGAAGGGGTTCGAACCGGTAGTGGCAACTCGAACATTGGGGGGGGAAGGGTTTGAACCGGTAGTGACCCACCCCTGGTTTTCGAGGGGGGGGACGGGTTGGGAACCCCCAGTGCCCCCCCCCCGGTTTTCCGCCAGCAGCGGAAGAACCCGCTCTTTCCCATACCTTTTGGGTTTTGGTCTTCCCCCCCCACTTCTTATTTTCGGGTATTTTCTAAAGAATCGACGATGACTTGTGTCTGTGTGCTTTTGTTCCCTCCTGATTTCAAGCGAAATCGGCACGGCGCTGGGGCCAGAGCGACACTTCGCCCGCCGGCGCGCTGTTCCGCTTCCGCCGGCGGGGCGAACAGAAACATGCGGGGCGCACGCGCGGAAGCGCCACTTTTTAGGCGGAATCCAGGCGGGGCCTGGGCGAGAGCTGCGTTTCGCCCGCTCGCGCGCGTCCCCGCGTCAAACGATTCGGCGGGGGTCAAATTCACGCCGCGCCCAAGCGGCAGCGCATTTGTCTGAAAAACATGCGGGGCGCCATGTCTCCACGTCACGCGCGATCTGCGCCACATCCACTTTCCGCCACGCATTTCGCAATGCCGACGACAAAACCTCCACGTTGAAAAGAGCAACGTAGACTTTCGATTGCTCTGGACTGGTAGGGCGAAACGTCCTGGATAGGAGGGATACTGTCTGGTTGGTTTGCTGATTGGGAATGCCCATCAGACGGAATAAGTGGATCGAGACATACGGTAGGAAGGCTCTGAAAACAGATTGGGCTTCCGCCAGCTCCCTGAAAAAGAAGGGAAGAGGGAACACCGCTCGGTGATTGGAGTAGGAAGGCGGCTCAAGTGGATTGGAACAGGGTCAAAAAAACCTTCTTGCGACGACCGATGGGTAAACTCGAATAAGGGACCAGGATGTGGGCAGGCATAAGAAGGTATACGTGAGTACTGTTTGATATGAGGTATGAGTGAGATTGGTGTTGGGAATAATGTCGGAAAGGAGGTATGATCCAGATACTGAAAGAGAGAGAGAGAGAGAGAAAGATAACAACAAAAAAAAGAAATCAAGAGAGATAAAGATAGAGAAAAAGACAGAGCGAAAGAGAGAGAGAGAGAGAGACACAAGAGAGAGAGAGAGAAGGAGCGCATGCGTGACTTTCATTTAATCTGAACAGATGCGAATGAGAAGGGACTGAGGTGATTGGATTCGATCGGTGGTCTGTGTGTGGGTATAAGCTGAAGGGCCAACAATGTTTGCATTTTGAAATGGTAGGGAGTTGAGATGAGTCTCACGTGCCGAATGCAAATGCGAATGCGAGTATGGTTCGCCTGCCAAGGCGGGTCAATTTGAGTGAACACTGCAGCGACTCTGGGTTTGGACGGGAGTGAGTATTAGCGAGAGAGGCGCTGTAAATGGAAGTGGGCGCGGGAGGGATGGGGGGATACGGCGGAGGAGGCTCAAACATGACTATAAACCCACGCGCCCGATATGCAACATACACGGAACCTAGGCTCAGGACATCCATGCACAGTTTCGCAAGCTCTGGAAACAAGTATCAGCTGAGAAGCTGCTCAGGGGGGCGAACGCGAAGCCGAGGAAGCACAGACGTCCCAAGGGTGAGTTTGGCGACATCGGGCCTGTGAGTGTGCGGAGATCGAAACGGCACGAAAGCAACGCACATCACGTTGAGACGTGGGAATAGGGAGCCGAACTCTATTCACCGACGCTTTCTGGCACCGCCCTGAAACTCGCACACCTTGGTGTATACGGGATCCTACAGGGCAGTCTTTAAGACATGGGATTTCTAAAAATAGAGGATGTTGAATGCATGATTAATTTATAAACAAATTTATGCATGAACTCATCGTTGTTTTTGATACTAAATCCCTGCATGTTGAATACATGATCCGCACGCGGAGCATGTATTAAAAACGGCACTGTAATGTACAATTGTTTCCTTGGTTCCACGGGAGAAGGGGGGCACAATTATACACCACACCACCCCGACGTCGTCCCCGACACCCAAAAGGCCTGGGATTGAAAAACAGCTCGCTACTGGCAACGTGTATGTTCCAGTTTCCGAGGGAAGAAATCGGCTCGACACGATCAACTCCACGCAAGAGTGACCCTTGGTAAGAGTGACCCTTGGCGCGCGGCTTTTTGGGGTCCGCGGGGGGGGGGGGCCAAACACAAGCGCGCAAGACGCCACTGCCGCCTCGCGTTCGGCGATGGGGAGATCCCACTGGGCCCGCACCAAAGGTCACTCCGGCGAAAGGGACTCCATTGCGCCTGCTCGACACGAGCAAGCTGCCTTCAGCACGTTCACCGTGGTAACCGGCCCTTGCAGTCCTTCTTTCGGCTGGAACGTCGACTGCAGTTCCCACGGACAGGCTGGCACGCCGTCGTCCTCGCAAGGAGCGGCAAAAACCTCCTCCTCCTCCTCCTCCTCCCTCCTCCTCCTCCTCCTCCTCCCTCCTCCTCCTCCTTCTCTCTCCTCCTCCTCCTCCCTCCTCATCTGCCTCCGCCTCCTCCACCTCCTCCTCCTCCTCCTCCTCCCTCTTTCTCATCCTACTGCTCCTCCTCCTCCCTCTTTCTCCTCCTCCTCCTCCCCTCCTCCCTCCTCCTCCCTCCTCCTCCTCTCCTCCTCCTCCTCCTCCTCCTCCTCCTCCTCCTCCTCCATCCTCCTATTCCTTCTCCTCCCTCCTGATCTTCCGCCTCCTCCTGCTCCTCCTCCTCCTCCTGCTCCCCTCCCGGAGCCCACCGGGGGAGGCGCCGATGGGCGCCTCCCGGCCGCAGCCACGGACAGCCGCGCGGCAGCCACCAGTCGTCGCTGCCGCCGTCACCGTCGGCGTCGTTAACCTCCTTCTGCTGCTGCTCCTCCTCCTGCTCTTCTTCGTCCTCCTCCCCCTCCTCCTCCTCCCTCCTCCTCCCTCCTCCTCCTCCTCCTCCTCCTCCTCCTCCATCCTCCTATTCCTCCTCCTCCCTCCTGATCTTCCGCCTCCTCCTGCTCCTCCTCCTCCTCCTCCGCTTGCATGCGTTATGCGCCACCGCAGTGTCATCGACAACGATAGCGTGAGCTGGAGCAGCAACAGGGGTGTTTTTCTCGTCGAACGATGGCGTGAGGGTCAGTCCTGTGCTCAGATCGGCTATCAGTCAAGCTCTCGTCCCAACTGGAAGAAGACGGTGGAGCTGGAAAAGCAGCACAGCAGGGGCGGAGAGGCGGAGGAGAAGGAAGAACACGAGCGAGGAGGTCGAACTGAAGGGTGGACAAGGCACTACATAGCATGTGCTCCAGAGTTTCTGCATCCACTGCGTCCGAAGCTCGTTCGTAATGTCCCCCTCGGGAACCTTGACTTGACGGCTGCTGGGACCAAGAAGCATGGCATCCTTCTCCCTTCTAGCTGCCCACCCCTCAGGAGGCAGGAGTAAGAGAAGGGAGGGAGGATGATGATGATTATGAGGACGAACGAGGCAGGCAGACTTGGGTCTGGCACGGAGAAGGAGGAAAAAAAGGACGGGCGATGGGCGAAGATTTGGCAGCGGCGTCCCGGCTGCAGCCAGGTGGGATATCTCCAGCATACTGGTCCAGCACGTGCTCCACGTAAGTCTCGAACACCTTGGGATGCCAGGCGGAAGTGCAGAACGAGGACGGACCGCCCGCCATCAACGAAGATCTCGACAGCGGGGACACTGTCAACTGGAGGGGGCCTTCCGCCCCCCGCAGCAATTTTGCGTGTGGTGGGGGGGGGGGAGAGCCTGTCATTCGCCTAATCCTCCTTCTCCTCCTTCTTCTCCTCCTCCTCCTCAGCTTCTTCCTGTTCACCCTACATGATCCTGGTCGCCCCTGGTGACCGCGTCCATTATCCCTCCTCCCCCTCTCCCTTCTGCCTCCCTTCGCACCCTCCTCGTACTGCCCTTCTCCTCCTGCTCATCCTTGTCTCCCTTGCCTCATTCTCCCCCTATTATGGTCTCTCCTCCTCCTCCTGATCATCCTCCTCCTGATCATCCTCATCGTGATCATCCTCCTCCTCTCCTCCTACTCCTACTCGTCCTCCTGTTCATCCTTCTCATCACAATCACCAGCATCACCACCATCATCACGGTAGTCATAGTCATAAGCAGCATCATCAGTAACATCGTCGGCATCAGCAGCAGCATCCACGTCATCATCCTCATCCTCATCCCCATCCTCATCCTCATCGTGACCATCATCAAAGTCGCCCTTTGCGGTTGTTCCAGACTGCCGCAGAAAACACTGAGGTCACATTGAGCGGTCTGGTAACAGCGAGGCATTGAGGCAGGGGCAACAGGATGCAGGGGGGAGGGGATGAGGGCGGGGCCAGCGTGAGCTAACAAGACCGTAGCATGCGTATATAATGTATATGTATATGTATGTATCTTTGCTGGTGGGGGAAGAAGACGAAGCAGCGCGACCGCAGAAATTCATCAAATTCGGCCTCAACCGCCGACCGAATCAAAAGGTCGGCAAGGAAACCAGGAACGCTACAGAACACCGACCTGCGACAAGCAGCCTCATGCCATGCACCGTGGCCTGACAAAGAAACGGGCGTGGCGCATGCGCGCGCCGCAGGCTCGCTCCTTTTCCGCTTCCTCAGAGCCAAATACATAGCTGCGGAGACGCGGGTCAAGAAGGAAGAGCAGCAGCAGCAGACAGTTCAGGCGCAGGCAAGTCAAGTGAGACGGGCAGGAACCTGGTGGTGCGGAGGGGTGCATTGACTGAAACGGGCGTGACGCATGCGCGAAGAAAGAAAACAAACGAGGGGGAGAGAGGGAGGTATTTGGCAGGGCGGGCACGCCGGGCGAAAGCCGAGGCTCGCCGCGGCCACGCTCCGTGCCCCTTTGGTAGGGCGCAACGTGTACCGTGCAGCATGGAGAACTCATGGGGACCAAGGAGGGCAAAAGGGCGACGACGCGCGTCATCAAGGAAGCGCGAAACCCGAACGCCGCAAGACCGAACGTGTACGGCCGTGGCGGGGGCCACTAACACTGGCATGATTAATCATCGCGGCGACGTGAATAAAAAGGTCCTTTCGTCCCTGGCCGAGACAGAAACAAGACGACACTCAATTCCTCAAACAAGGAATACACAACTTGCAGAAACACAAAAGTATGACGCGTGGGCGAGTCCCCTTCAAGGAACAACGCCCCGCCACCCCGCAGGCCATGACTCGCCCCGCGTTGCGCTCAAAGCGACGGGTGGGGGGGCGAGCGAGAAAGAGGCGCAATCCGTGGAAGACGCACAGACGCCTTTTAAGGTGCGCCCCACCCCCCAATCGACGTGCTCCGTAGAAGGGGAAGTCAAGGATGGCTAAGCAGCGACGGCAGTCTCGGCGACGCGCCTAAGAATCCGGAAAAGGCCTGGGGATGCCTCCAGGATTATGTACCCAGGGGGTCACTTGGTACATAATTACTTCAGGCATTCTTTCGGAAGCCCCTGGTGGTCCTTTTGCGGGTCCCTCTGGGCCCCTGGCAGGAGCTGCCAGGTGCCGTCGTGGGGGCCGCAAGAAAGCCTCAAAAAGACCTTTAGCTCTGTGGCGATCCTTTCGGGGATGGACAGACTTCCCTTTAGTAAAACGTGGTTTAGTGAAAACGACCTGAGGCCCAAACGTGGCGGGCGCAAGCCTGGAAAATAACGGCCGCGGCGCCCTCTCGAGAGCCGAAAACGGACAATTCACTAATCGACGTGTCACTGTTGGGGGTTCTGTCCGCCCCCGATCCTTGGAGGTATCGGCGGGATCGGCGGGCACTCCGGGGCACTCCTGGATGGCTCCAGATCGCTGGCGCTTCCCAAGACGACTGCCAGATGCCCACCGGCGACGAGAATGGCGACGTGAACGGCGACACTAATGGCGACGCTGATCGACAATTGCGGCGGCACTAAAAGGCGACACGAATGGCGACACAAACGCCGTCACTAAAGCACGGCGGTGACAACACAAATATCACGAAGGGCTGCGCTATGTCAGCAGCGGCCTAACCGCGACCAGAATCACTAATCGAAAAACACTCATTCCCTCGCCCTGCAAAATCCGCCGATCCGGCGTGTGAGCTACAAGGAGCCTCAGCAAGAGCTTCAGCTCTGAGCCTACGCAAGAACGTCAGATCTGCTTGCGGGGTCGCCGGGGTGGCTCTGCCGGGGAAGGGGGGGAGGGGGGGGGCGGGGTGGTCCCCCATCTGGCGTTTTCTTCATGATTTACGCATCCCCGAAATGTTTCGGGGGGTCCGGGAAAAGGGGGGGCCCCCCATCTGGCGCTTTCGTAATGGTTTGCGCATCCCCAAGATATATTCCGGGGAGTCCCAGGGAGCCCCCTCAGATCGGGAGCGGCCAAGAGGGGGGTGTCCAAGAGGGGGGGGGCAAATCATGACCGGCGGCATGTGCGCGGCCCAGCGGGCGGGCCAGGGACGTCATGGAATAAGAAGAGGCGCCATGAAATCTGGGGAAATATCATGGCCCGCGCCATGAAATCCCCCCCCCCCTAGTCATCACCCCCCTCTTTTCCGCCCCCGACCCAAGACCCTCCCCTCGGAACCCTCCCCGGACTCCGGGACCTCTCAAGCACCCCCCCCAGCGGGAACGAGGACGAGCGAGGATGGAGAGGGGAGCGTGCACGCGACGCGGCACACCCCCAGCGGGAACGAGGACGAGCGAGGACGGAGAGGGGAGCGGGGAAAACGAGGGAAGGATAGCCGTAGGGGTACCTTTTCCTCCTAAGCCTCCCTCCGAGAGAGAGAGAGAGAGAGGCGGACCGAGGGCTTGGGGGATGAATGAATTTATGCTGTTCGCGATTTGCCAAACTCCATTTCTACTTCCATGCCCATTTCCACCCCCCGCCCTCTGGATCCGCGAGACCATCCTCGCCTCAACGCTCTGCTCCTCGTCCACAAGGGTGGCAGGGTTGGCGCACGACACGCCAGGCGCAATGCGGTTGCAGTCATGGCGCTGCCAGCAGGAACGCTAAATTAGGAGCGAAGCCCATCTGTCCCAAACTTAGCCATGCATCTCTAAGGAATGGCCGAGCTCCATTTTGGAAGCGATCAATGGTCGTTGCCTCTTGTTTTGAAGGTGGCACCTCCCCTCCCAAGGAACGCCAGCAGACCCCAGGAACTGGCGAGCCCTTTCCGAATCATACTTAGACCATATTTCAGCGCCACAACTATATCTGAATTACCTATACGACCACCCTTCGGCTGAGAAGGAGGTTTTTGGGGGGAGGAAACAACGTCTCACTCGATCGGTCTCACTATCGATCTTACTATCGATCTCACTATCGGTCTCGCTCAAGCGATCTCACTCGGTCGATCTCACAATCAGTACCACTCGATCTATGTCATTCGATCGATCTCACAATCGATATGATTATCGATATCACAATCGATCTCTCTATCGATCTCGCGATCGATCTCACAATCTATCTCACATTCGGCCTCACTATCGATATCACAATCGGTCTCACAATCAACGTCATCATCATCATCATCATCATCATCAGCATCATCATCATTATCATCATCATCATCGACATCAACGTCATCAACGTCATCAACATCATCATCATCATCACCATCATCATCATCATCATCATCATCATCATCATCATCATCATCGGGACACCATCATGATCATCACCTCATCACCATCATCGTCAACATCATCATCATCATCATCACCATCACCATCACCGGGACACTATCATCGCCACCAGCAACATCAGCAGCATCACCATCATCGGAACACCACCATCATCACCATAATCGGAACACCACCATCATCATCATCATCATCATCATCATCTCATCATCATGAACACCATCGTCAACATCGTCATCATCGGGACACCGTCATCATCATCATCAGCATCATCAACATCAACATCATCATCGGGACATCATCATCATCATCGTTACCGTCATCATCACCATCATCATCATCGGAACACCATCATTATCATCAACGTCAGCATCATCATCATCATCATCATCATCATCATCATCATCATCATCATCATCGGGCAACCATCATCGAAATCATCATCACCTCATCACCGTCCTCACCATCATAATCACCATCACCATCGAACACAACCGTCATCATCATCATCAACATCAACATCATCATCTGGACACCATCATCGTCACCATCATCAACCTCATCATCATCATCACCATCATCAACAGCATCATCATCAACCTCATCATCATCATCATCATCATCATCAACATCATCATCATCTCGTCATCATCAACATCATCAGGATCATCAACATCATCATCATCATCATCCTCGGGGCACCATCATCATCAGCAACATCAGCATCATCAACAACATCATCATCATCGGAATGCCATCATTATCACCACCATGGCCATCATCATCATCATCATCATCATCAGCATCACCATCATCGGGACACCATCATCGTCACCATCATCATCAACATCAGCATCATCGGGACACCATGATTTTCATCATCGGCACACCACCATCATCCGCATCATCTCATCATCATCATCATCATGTCCGACATCATCAACAACATCATCGGGGAACCATCATCATCACCAGCAACATCATCATCAACATCATCATCATCATCGGGACACCATCATCATCGTCACCATCATCATCATCATCGTCACCATTATCATCATTGGGACACCATCATCATCGCCAACATCAGCATGATGATCATCATCATCATCACCATCACCATCATCATCATCATCATCATCATCATCATCATCATCATCATCATCATCATTATCGGGCCACTACCATCAAAATCACCATCAGCACCTCATCATCATCCTCATCACCAACATCATCATCATCATCATCAGCGGGACACCATCATCGTCATCATCATCATCACCATCATCATCATCAGCATCGGGACACCATCATCATCATCACCATCATCATCAACAGCATCATGATCAACCTCATCACCATCATCGGGACACCATCATCATCAGCAACATCATCATCATCATTTGCATCATCGTCATCACCTCATGATCCCATCATCAGCATCATCATAATCATCAACAACATCGTCTTCATCATCTGGACACCATCATCACAATCGTCAGCAACATCAGCATCACCAACATCATCATCGAGACACCATCATCATCACCACCATGGCCATCATCATCATCATCAACATCGTCATCATCATCATCATCATCGTCATCATCATCATCATCATCATCATCATCATCATCATCATCATCATCATCATCGGGACACCGACGGGACACCGGCGGGTCACCGCGCGGCACCGGTTGCTGGAAGGGAGACTTTTGGTCCGGCCGCGCCTCAGCCAGAGGCGGGACATTTCTCGCCCGCCCACGCAGCTTCGCCTCGCCCGCACGCACGGCACGCACGAACACGAAACCGAAACCGATTTTCCCGTAGGGGGGCTCTCCGTTCCACTTCGATCTCACCCCCTCACCTCCGAACCCTCACATCTGATTATTGCATGCGGTAATGTGGGTGCTCGCCCTTGCAGAGCGCTTCCCGTCCATGAAGAACAGCTCGAAAGGTGAATATCGCCTTCGGTGCATCTCCGCATGGGGCTAAAACGCGTGCAGGGTGTGCCAAACTGTGGCGGGGCCGCCACAGGGGCCTCTGGGGCATTCGGTGGAGCGCCCTATGGGATGGGGTGTGGAACCGCATGCGGGCGCTGTCACTGGGGCCGTCGGTGGAGCTCCCTGCGGGGCCACGAAGCGTGTGAAAGGTGTGCCGAAACGGAGGTGTAATTGCATGCGGGCGCTGCCCCAGGGGCTGCCAGTGCACCAACATTGGCGTGGAACTGCATGCGGGCGCTGCCACTGTGGCCTTCGGTGGAGCTTCATATGGGGTCACGAAATGTGGATGGGGTGTGCTGGAATGGGGCGCCGGCGCTGCCCCTGGGACCTTCGGTGGAGCTCCACATGGGGCCACGATTCGCGCGAGGGGTGTGCCGAAGTGGAGGTGGACCTGCTTGCGGGCGCTGCCAATGGCGCCTTCGGTGGAGCTCCCTATGGGGCCACGCAGCGGGTCAGGGGTGTGCCGAAATGGAGAGTGGAACTGCATGCGGGCGCTGCCACTGGGGCCATCGGTGGAGCTCCCGATGGGGCCACGAAACTTGTGAGGGGTCTGCCGGAATTCGAGTGGAACTGCATGCGGACGCTGGCCCTGGGGCCTTGAATGAAGCTCCATATGGGATCGCGAAATATGTGAGGGGTGTGCAGAAATGGGAGTGGAACTGCATGCGAGGGCTGCCAATGTCGCCTTCGGTGGAGCTCCCTATGAGGGCGCGAAGCGTGTGAAGGGTGTGCCAAAATGAAGGGTGCAACTGCATGCGGGCGGTGCCACTGAGGCCTGCGGTGGAGCTCCATATGGGGCCACGAAGCGTGTGAAGGTATGCCGAGATGGAGGGTGAAGCTGCATGCGGGCACTGCCCCTGGAGCCTTCGGTAAAGCTCCTGATGGCACCACGAAGTGCAAGAGGGGTGTGCCGGAATAGGGGTTGCACCTCATGCCGGAGCTGCCACTGAGGCCTTCGGCGGAACTCTTCGTGGAGCCACGAGACGTGTGAGAGGTTCGCCGACACAGGAGAGGGGATCGCACGCGGGCGCTGCCACTGCGGCCTTCGGTGGAGCTCCCCATGGGGCCACGACATATGTGAGGGGTGTGCCAAAATGAAAGGTGGAACTGCATGCGGGCGCTGCCACTTGGAACTTCACATGGGGGCCACGAAACGTGTGAGGGATGTGCCGAAAGTGGTGGCGATGATGGTGATGATGACGGCGATGATGATGACGACGATGCTAATGATGATGCTGATGCTGATGATGATGCTGATGCTGATGCTCAGGGTGGTGGTGATGATGTTGATGATAATATTGATGATGATACTGATGATGATGATGTTCATGATGATGGTGGTGGCGATGATGAAGATGATGATGATTAAGATGATGCTGATGCTGATGACGATGTGCATGATGATGATGCTGCTGGTTATGATGCTGATGATGATGATGCTGATGCTGATGCTGATGCTGATGATGATGATGATGATGATGATGATGATGATGATGATGAGCGGTGGAGAAGGTGGAGGAGGAGGAAAAGGCGGAGGGAATGAGAGAAACGCGGCTGTGCGAACTCTTCAAAACGAGAAGCTAACACCACAGGATTGTTGAGAAAAAACGGAGCCATCGCTGCACTCCAAAGACAAAGTCTGGTGCTCGAGGGCACCCTTCTGACTACCGTTGACCTTAGAATTACATGAGACGGAATCTTGAGGGCGATCAACAAAACGACTGCCACGAAGACACATTGCACGCCTCGAGGAAGGTGAGGAGGGGCCCAGAGAAGGGAGACCGAGCCTGATGGAGGAGGAACGTGGAGGAGATGACGGGGGGGAATGCCATGAAGAGAAGGGCCTCTGTCCGCTCACTGGCCTGACCGGCTCACCCTCCTCTGAGGCTGGTCCGACGAGTCGGAACCAAAACGATCCAGGGGCCTCGCCGCGCCAGAGGCAGCAGTCGAGAAGGAGGGAGGGAAGGAGGTGAACGGGGTCGAGAAGGAGAACGCCCGTCCTTGAGCAGGGACCGACCGTCCCAACGTTACTGTAGGCCTACCGCGAAATCTTCGTAGAACCCGAATATGTTCGAAGAGCAAAAACAATGTTCTTGGAACATAAACCCGATGAGTTGAAACAAGACAGTCCCAGCCAGAAATGTTCTAAGAACATCTCGTGGAGACCCCGAACAGTTCTTAGAGCCTTCTTTGGCAGGCCTATGGGCGAGCCAGGACGCTTCGCCACTGCTTGACGTCCGCCCGTCCGCGCGCTATCTCGCCCGGCCGCACCCGGCCCGGCCGTGCCCGGGCTCGCCTCGTAGTCCCAGCCGGTCCCGTTTGCGCGCGCCTCTATCCTCTGGGCCCCGCTTGATGGACCTGTTTTCCACCACCAGCACCATAAGTTGGAGGGGGGAAGGAGGAGGAGGAGGAGGAGGAGGAGGAGGAGGAGGAGGACCCCCATCCCCCTCCAACTGATGGTGGTGGTGGTGGAAAACAGGCCCATCACCGCTGGGGCGGGGGGGAGCGAGCGACGCCCGCGCGGCGAGGCCGGAAAGGGGGCCGTCAGATCCAGGCGTTGCACTTCTCCTTCTTCTTAGTTTTCTTCTTCTTCCTCTTCCTCTTCCTCTTCTTCGCAATGGGATGATTCTCGCCTGGTTTCGGGCTCCAGGCCGTTCCGGCTCGGACAAAACGCCGCAGCAGGATGGGGTCCAGGGCGCTGGTCGCGACTCTTCACGACGTGCCAGTTTTGCTCGCAACGTCGGATCTCAAGGAGGACGTGGAGTGTAAGGGACGCAGGGAGGACGGGGAGGGAGCGAAGACACAGGGAGGAGGAGGAGGAGGAGGAGGAGGAGGAGGAGGAGGAAGAGGAGGAGGAGGAGGAGGAGGAAGAGGAGGGGGAGGAGGAGGAGGAACAAGTAGCGAGAGGGAGGGAGGACAAGCTAGGTGAGCCCGCGTCATATCTGACGTCATATCCCTCCCTCCCATCCGTTATCATTACGTAAAGCCTCTATCGACCAACACAAAAGAAGATGTTGGAACGGACAGCGATCCCAAACGGGTGCACGATGCATGGCATGGCGTAGTCTGGCGTAGTCAGGCACTGAGCCAGGCACTGCATACCGCATAACATAGCATTGCATGGCGTGCCCTTGAATGGTATGACACTGCGTACCTTGGCCCTAGCGCTGAATACCACAGCATTGCAGAGCAAGGTATGTAATCGCGTGAATGTGGCAACACACACGCCATAGCATTGAATTGCACCAGCTGGAACACATTACTAGCGTGAACACCAGTCGAAAGAACAAAAACGCTGAAATGAGGCAAACGTTGCAGCGAGAGCACCATTCGCAAGGACCGAAAACGTGGAACTGACACCAACGCTGCAGCGGGAAAAGGGGGCGGATACTCTCAGCACGTGTCCGGGCAGACAGGAGAGTAGTATTCATATTGTGTTATTGTGGAGGAGGAGGAGGAGGAGGAGGGACGGTGAGAAGGAAGCAGCGCTGAGAAGCGTGACCAGGATCAGGATTGGATATCACGGGCAGGGAACGAGACCATCCGCTGTGGACATCTGCATCATCTGCGCTTGATCGAGGGCGCCTGTCTGCAAAGCTTGCGACGTCCGCCGCTCGTGTGAAGCACCGTCCACCGAGCACATGTTCCACGACGCGGTGGTAGCCTTAGCCAGGCTCGACGGACGCAAACCCCGACATCCGACGATACGGCCTTGATTTTGGACGCCGCGTGGATCGTCGAAACGGTCAGCCTTGAACGATCGGCGGCCACTCGGTTGCCAGATCGCTCCTTGCGGCGTGCAGCCCTGAACGCCCGCGACGAGGTCGTCACCGCATCGACACGGCGCGAGCATGCTGTACTTAGATGCGAGCGCCTGCGTGTGGTCCATGCGCGCGCAAGTAATCCTCGAGGGATGCAAAATCGCCCCTACCCTGGGTTACAAGCGCGTGGTCTGTAAACTTCCTGGGAACTCCCAAAGGCCAGAGAGCCGCCAGGACACCGCGCGACACGCGCAATGGGCAGGGCTTACCCTGTCGGCCCACAGGAGTTCAGCGCACAGCGCCTCGGAAACCAGGGTAGGGGCGTTTTGTTGAGCCCTTGAAATCCCACCACCCCCTTGCTCTCCAGTGTTTTAGGGATGGGGCTACCCCTGAACCTGCCGCCCCCCCGGTCTGGACGGACCCCCCTCGAGGTGCCAGAGGGTCCTGGTTGGTCCGGACCGAGCCATGAGGGCCCCGAGACGGCATCCAAGAAGGTCGCGTCATGCAGCCCAATGTTGGACCAAGCTCGCAGTCCCCAAGACAGCCCCAGGTGGCTACGAAGTCTCCCACAGATGTCCCCGAGCGAGAATCCATTCAGAACCTTACACGCGTGGCTCCCAGACCTGGGCTGGCCGAGGGGAGCTCGTGGGGCACTGGCTGGCCCCCGTTATCGGGTGCGCCGAAGAAGGGAGCCATGAAGAGGGGGGGCGCATCACATCCCGAGGCACGAGCGCGGACGAGGGGCGGTGAGGGGACGCTTTGAAAGAAGAAGAGAGGGCACTGAAATCTGGACGATCTCATGGCTCCAGCCACGACCTCCACACACATACACACACACCCACAATCCTAACCCCCCGATGGGACGCTCCCGACGCCAATGCTGACCACCTGCGACCCTGATGCGCCCTCGAGGGGACCGGCTCAGGGGGGAAACATCGAACTAGAATCGGTGACACGGGCCGGCGACGGCAAATCAGCACCTTCCTGGGCGGGGAGGGCTGTCGGGACCCTATATACGATGAGCGGGCGAAGGTCGGGCCGGGCGAAAGGGGGGGGGTTGCAAAGAGGGGGGTTGAGAACCAGCTCACGTTGCTGATTTTCCCAGCGCCTCCCGGCGCCCGCAGGCGCCCGTGCATCGAGGAATGGGCCCGGCGGCGGGGCCGAAACCAGCTGCATGCAGCAGACTTCGTCCCCCCCCCCTTTCCCTATCTCCCGCCTTTCGCCTCTCCCCTTTCGCCTCTCCCCCCTTTCGCCTCTCCCCCCTTTCGCCTCTGCCCCCCCCCCCCCTTCCCCTATCTCCCTCCTTTCGCCTCTCCCCCCTCCTTCCCCTTTCCCTATCTCCCCCCCCTTTCGCCCTCTCCCCCCCCTTTCGTTCGGCCCGAGGAGGGGTCCACGCGTTCCCCCTCGCGAAACCGTGCGGCCCTGCGGGCCACAGCTCGGGCCTCCGGCGGCCGTCGGGGGCGATCTCCGGGCGTCCCCGGACCGCCCTCGGGAGGCACCCCCGAGGCACGCCCTCGGCGAGGCGCAGCTGCTGGAGAGCACCCCGAGGGAGGAGGGAGGAGGGAGGGAGGAGGGGGGGAGGAGAGGGGGAGGGAGGGAGGGAGGGGGGAGGAGGAGGGAGGGAGGGATGGAGGGAGGGACCACAGTGGCGCGCGAAAACCGCGGAGGACCGCGCGGAGAGCGCCTGGGAACCGAAGCCGTCCCTGTCGCTGCACCTGACCCAGACCCACGACGTCACGATGGTTTGTCAGAGTGGTTGAAGGGGCCCTGGGACACACAACTAAATACACACAAATATAAATATTCCCCATATTTTCCTAAATTTCCTAGGTTTTTGTCTTCCCCACCACTTCTCATATTCTCCCATATTTTCTGGGGGATCGACGATTAATTGTGTCTGTGTGTTTTTGTTCCCTCCTGAGTGGTAGCCCCCTGGACGTCTCGACCCGTTCCCCGGGACGGGCTTCTCCTCCCGAGTCGTCTGGCCGACGCTCTCGCGAGGCCCGCTGCGGGCCCTGGGAGGCCGAGCATGGCGCGAAGCACTTCCCGTCGCGATGTTGCCATCAGTCCAGGGGGTCGCAAAAAAACCCAGGATTGCAAAAAACCGAAGGATTGCAAAAACAACCCAGGATTGCAACGAAGGATTGCAAAAAAACATGGTTTTTTTGTAATCCTTGGTTTTTTTGCAATCCTTCGTTCAAGGGAGGCTGCCCCCGACTCCGACGCCCCTCCAACTGGTTTTGTTGCGCGTCATCCTTGCGCAGGGGCCGTGCTGATCTTCTCTGTATCGCTCCAGTGTCAACGGATGATCCCCGAAGGGGATCCCACGCCCCTCCCCGAAGGGCGTCCTACGCCCATCCCCGAGGTCCAGTTGGAGGGGCCGACGCCCCTCCAGCTGGATCTTGGACGCCCGAAATGGGTACGGAAAGGATGGGTGCAGTGCCCAACAGCAAATGTCGTCCCGAACCGACAGCGGCCGCTGTTGGGCAGGCGGCTGTTCGTCTCCAGGGGAAACAGGCCGCGGCGACGCCGGCAGCGACTCCTGTTCAAAATCTGCAGGAACTGCTGTTGGTCTTTGTACCCATTCTTTCCGTACCCATGTCGATCGTCCCGATGGACACCCCCCTCTCCGTACCACTTTGGAGTCCGCGAAACGGTGCGGTGACAAACCGTGCGGTGACCTCGAAATCCCCCGAGACCTCACCGCACGGTCCGTCACCGCACGGTCTTGGGACCCCGGAGGCCCCTGTGCCCCGCATCCTCGGAGAACGACCCGAGTCCCAAAACCGTGCGGTGGCCCCAGATCCCCACCGACTCACCGCACGGTGTTGTCGCCGCCCCGTTTGGGGACCCCCGAACCACGCCGGTGGCCTCACCCCCCCTCCACGCCCGGCGAGGCGCGGCCGAGGCCCGCGGCGGCGGTCCTCCCCTGCGCCTCCAGCAGCTCGAGCTGCTCCTCCAGGAGGAGGAAGGGGAGGAGGAGATCCAGCGTAAACCACACATGTTTTAGAACCCCCCAAAACAATCGAATCACGAAAACAATGTTCTTAGAACATGAGCCCGATATGTTAAAGCAAGACAGGCGCAAAAAGAAATGTTCTAAGAACATTCCGTTGAAACCAAAAAAGGTTATCATAACATCCCCTGGTAGGCCTATATACGCGAGCCAGGACGCTGCGCCACTGCTAGGAAAAATGAAGCAAACCGAAACCAGGTGAAAGCACAACAGCCACAAACGATATCACAAATTGTTCACCGAGTTCCAACGTGCTTAGGCTGTTGCACGGTCTTTCGTGGCCCTCCAAGGGGCCCAGGCGAGCCCTGGGTGGCGCCGGGCGGCCGCAACCCGGCCGGGGAGGCCCCGCCGAGAGAGGCGCCCTCCCGGCGGGCCGCCGAGCGGGCCAGCTGGCTGGCCGCCCGGGGGGGCCAGCGAGGTGGCGTGACTCCTCTCCCCTCCCTCGGGGGCAGAGAGTTCTCGTTTCTCCGAATATTCCGTTCTGTTTCGTTATCTCGGGGCTCATGCCCCTGGGGTAAAATGAGCCCGCCAAGCAGGCGCCCTGGGCTGTGTCACTTGTCAGTTGCGCACCCCCGCGGCTGGCGAGGTCGTGCACTCGTGCACCCTGCTTCCGAGGAGAGCCGAACCGAACTGAACCTTCGGGGGCGCGCAAACATAGAGTAGCGATCCATGGATTTGGCGCGCGGTCGCCAAATCCATGGATCGGGCGAGGTGCCCTACCCAAAATGCGGCCTGTGCCGTATCGCTCGGCGGCGGGAGTCCGCGATTTCCCACGGAAACGGGACCCGTCGCTAATCCACGCATCCTCAATCCATGTTTGCGATCGCCTGAAAGGTGGAGTGACTCCTCTCCCCTCCTCCTCTCCCTCACCTTCGTGCCCTCCTCTCCCCCCCTCTGCGTGGGTTCTTCCCCCAGCTCCTCTCCCTCCCTCCCTTCTCTCTCTTCTCCGTCGTGGCACCTCCTCCCCCCTCGTTTCGAGGACATCTCCCTGTCATCCTCTCATCCGTTCCATCTTCCCCCCCGTCGTCCTTTCACCAACTCATTCGCGGGCCTCCTTCCTCTCCTCCTCCACCTTCAAAGAAACGCGTGCCTCCTCCTCCTCCTCTTCCACCTCCTCCAGTCCCGTCTCGGTCGGCGGGCGTCTGCGGCGAGCACGCCCAAGTGCCGCCCGTCTGGTCGAGGGCCTTCAGCAGCCCCCCCCCGCCGCTCCTGGATCTCAAGGTTCATCACGGTGACCTGGAGGCAAGTCCTTGCCTAATGCTGCTGCTCCTGCTCATTCCTGATGTTCCTCCTCATCACCCTCCTCTTCCTTGTTTCTGCCTCCGTCCTGCGCCTCTTCCTCCTCCATCTTTCCTGAACTTGATGATCCTCTCCTCCGCCTCTTCCGTAACCCCTCCTGTTCCACTCCTCTTCGTCTCCAACGCGGGGGAGGGGAAGAAGGAACAAACGGAGAAAGGGTAGAGTACTGCGGATGAGTATGGAGGAGAACGGGGTGAGGGGGACGACAAATGAAACTGATTCCCAAACTTGAGCACATTGTTCCAAGGACTATGTCCGAATCCGAGGCGCACTCGCAGGGGGGAGGCTCCGAAACTTGTCAATGCGGATTTCGATCCTGGGGGGGTCTGGGCTTCAAGGTGGGAATAGAAGCGACGGCAAGAACATGCGAGGAAGAGAACAATGATAAAACTGATCAGCAAGGCGATGGAGGGGAGGATGATGAAAAGGACCGATATAAGGCAGCAGAAGGCCTGAAGTGAGCGGGCCTGGTGCCCACGTAGGCACAATACATATAATTATAATGGCAACTTGTTCTGACGGTGTGAGCTCCGCGGCGACAGCATGTGAGTAGAGGTGGAACTGGTGCGCGGGTATGGCAAACAATACAACACACGCGAACCGAAAACAAACGAATGGTGATCGGAAGCTGGCCGCGATCTGAAACAAACCACTGAGAACGTTTGGAATCGGAGAACGTTTGGAATTGGAGGATCGCTGGGCACGCTGTTACGGTTCGCTTGCCAAACGGGCCAACGACGTGCTAGAATATGCGATGGGAAGCTTTAAAACACCATATGTCGAAATCTAAGTGTGCGCGTTCATATACATTCATACGCCTATAAAGTTTAAGCTATGTAAAATACATGTGTACATATAAGTGTGTATACATGTATACGCATACGTCTGCAAACGTGAACATAAATGCATGAACATGTAGCCGGCTTATGGGGGAAATAAAATCTTTGCGGAGAAAAAATTCAATTCGGGTCTGGGTTCGGGCGAGAAGAACATCAAATATTCGAATTCGAAACGCCCAAAAACCCCACATCCGGAATAAGTTCAAGACGACCCCGGCCACAACGACTATTATTTACTAATTTTTGGTCGTTTGAACTCTTGGACTCTTAAACGTGTCTGACATGTTGAACTGTGTTCGAACTTGTTTGACATTCTGTTGCACTGTTTTGAACTGTTAAACTTGTTTGAGATGGTTTCGGACGTGTTCTGAACTGTTGTTACTGTTCAAACTGTTCCTCTGCGCCGAGCACTATCTGAACTTGTTCCGAACTTGCTCATTTTGAACACAATCTCTGCACGGCAAAAAAATCTGAGAAAAGGTGCCCACCGAACTCTTTCGAACAATGGTAATGCAAAAAAACACGAACTTCATGTAAGGCGTGTCGCGAAACCAAGCAACATTGCATGACGCATGACAAAAGAGGGGCAGCAACCGCACATCAGGCCAGAAGCCTCGTGGAGAGGCTCGCGCGGCCGCTGCGCTGTATGGACAGGCGACGCCTGAGCTTGAGGAGCGGCTCATGTAGAAGATCCGCCTCAAAAGCATCGGGCCCGAACCAAAACCCCAAGGACTTATGGCGCGTTGCGATATTCGGTTCTTGCCATTTTGCTGCAATCGGCGATTCCTCCGAACCCGTCGGCGCGCGATTCGGCGTCCACGCAGCCTTTTCCCAGTTGGAGACCTGACCAGATGCGCGCTCAAATGTGTCGAGTATGGCAACAAGCTCGTCCAAAGCACTCGCTGCATCGAATGAAAACTTCCAATCGCCCCCGGATCCCCACATGGAGGACGCCGCGTACCGCAGCAGACCGTGCAAGGAAAGGGCCCGCCGCGAGAACATATACGAACACGGACAGCGGATGTCCTTCCGAGAACCCAGCGAAAAAGCTTGCAGGTGGAAACGCGTCGCCCGGCCACGTCAGAAAAGCGCGGCGCGCGCGAGAGCCGCTGAATGCCTGTCAAAAGCTGCGCTGGGAGGCCCGCGCGACCGCGAGCGGCGTTGACCCACTCCCGAGAAAGCATATTGAACCCTTTCGAGCAACCGAGAAAGAGGACAACCATAACCGCAGGCGCGGCGCCGCGGCCAATGCGAATGGCTTCTGCGATTTCATCGATGTTCCGCTCGATCTCCCCTCCCGTTGCAAAAGCCCGCTGTCTCCGCCTGAGCTGCGCGGCCGCAACCTGGTCGAGCATTCGGCACGGCATGCGGCCGAGGACTTTGGCGTCTTGGCTCGGTCGCTCGAGATCGCGCAACAACGCAATGGCAACAACGCCCTGCTCCTTAGGAGTTGCATGCCATAGAAGATCGATCATGTGAGCTTGCCCTTCGCGCTCTCCGCGCGTGAGTTCGTGGAGAACTTCAACGAAAAACTGTGCTCAACGCATTCGCGTGCAATTTGTACAAGAACGACCCTTCACTGCCGCGGTCCCGGCGCCTTGTGTCCGGGGCCTCGCTTTCAGGCAGAGCAAGTCTAGCATCTTTCAAGTACAGGCCCCGCCCACGGAGCATCTACGAAAAAAAGGCGCCGTCTCCTCGTGGGCCCCCCTGCGTTCACGAGCGTATTCCCTCGAACGCCGGCCGATTTCGTAGCTTGAGGTGACATGCCGGCCCACGCTGTCATCTCACAGTTTTGATACCTGAAACCGCTCGTGCGCGCAAAAAGCTTTCCACCGTTGAACTACCCCAAGGTGCGCCTTGGCTCCAGCGTGCGTGCTGCCAGCAGAGACGCCGTCGCCTACTGCTGCTGTCAGCGCATTTTCGGGCACCCAACGGCACTCTTCATCTAGCGCCTGCTCTCGCAATGCCTCCCCATGAAGCCTGTGCAACTCATGTAGCAAATCACCCGCTCCTCGCAGGATGACGCTGGGACTGGTGCATTCAAACGCCGTTGCAACCAATGGCGCAAGAAAGGGGCACAATTTCAACAACCACTTGGAAGTAAGCGTCGGTTCCGCATGCTTCCCTTCATGTGGGTGGCAAACGTTGCCATCCCTCGCGCTTCCTCCATGAACTATTTTGCACATGCCTGAGACATGTATTTGAATTCACACAGTGCGTTCAGGGGCACTCGCTACCAAACGTCTTCAACTAAAAATTGTACCAACTGCTCGTCATATACTGACCAATCTGGCATGGCCTTGCACGCCTCCGCCCGGGTGAACCGCTTCTTCCGACGCCGAGGCCGTTTTTGGAAGGTAGTGCCCACAGACAGGTGATCAGATGCGTTCGGGTCAGGCACCCCCCCCATAACGTGCACATGTTGTAGTCTGTGCGCATGCCGCAGAAAATCGCGACCAACTCTGGCGAAGTCAAGTGTTTCAGGCATGTGCCAGCGAGCGCCCGCGCGAGTGACGCCAGCCCGTCTAAAAAGTACGTTCCTCTACCTCACCTTGGTGGAGGGCCCGATAAGTGCGAGGAGATTTTCCCACGCCTCGAGAAGGCGTCGTCCGCTGCTCTGTCTGGAGAACAAAATTTCGATCCACACCGAAGGTGCATTCAAACCTGCCGCGCACGCGCTCCTCAACAAATAAACATGGATGGCGCGAGTGAGTTCTAGCACCTGCCGTGTCCGAGTTGCGCGGGGATGGCTGTCCAGGTAAACGACTACATACAAGCGCGCGCAAGTGCCGACATTATACAAGAAAGCATGAGCAGCGCCCTCAATCAAAACAACATGGTGATTCTGAAGGCCCTTCTCTCCCTCAATCCCAAACGCTGCCATCAACCGCTCACTGACGCAGATGGCCATGCCTGGGAAACGCCCATTGCGGTGGAATAGAGAGCGAACCCCATCGACATGCGAGAAGAAGCAACTTGCGCAACAGCGCTCGACACGTGAAGCTCGCTGAAGCACGCGACATCGCAAATGCGAACAATGTGCTTGAGATTTGCGACTTTACGGTCAAACAGGTTGCGATCACTAAAACTTACGAGGTGCAGATTGCAGAAAGCAGCGCCGGCGAAGTCTGGACCTGTGGCACAAGTGGCCTGCGTGATCGGCGTGGCCATGGTTCCCTTGCCCCCTCGGGCTTCCCAGGGCCTCTCTTGGCACACCGCTGCCGCATCACACCACTGACCTCGCGCTGCCGAGAGGTCGGCCTGCGCAGCGCCGCCCAGACATCTGCATTCCATATAGTCGCAACTCATTTTAAAAACCAATCTCTCGCATACAGCCCATCATCATCATCATCATCATCATCATCATCATCATCATCATCATCATCGCATACAGTACATCATCATCATCATCATCATCATCATCATCATCATCATCATCGTCATCATCATCATCATCATCATCATCATCATCATCGCATACAGTACATCATCATCATCATCATCATCATCATCATCATCATCCACATCATCCACATCATCATCATCATCATCATCATCATCATCCACATCATCATCATCCACATCATCATCATCAGCATCATCATCATCGTCATCATCATCATCATTATAATCATCATCAACAGCAACATCATCATATGTTTTTTGGAAGAAAAACAATGTCTCGCATACAGTACGTCATCATCATCACCTGGTTGCCTGCGTGGGCATGGCCACTGAGAACAAACACTCACCTTGCGCACCGAAGCGTTGCGTGGAGCGTCTGCGAAACATGTCGCCCACTCCTGCTGCGTAGGCAAACCTCGTTGCCAAGCTCCTTGTTCACCAGATCGGCGCACAAGAAAAAACGACGACCTACTGTGAGGCCGAATTGAAGCTTCGCAGCACGGTGATAAACCGTGGCGCATTGACCCTCTTGCCCTGGCCATTTGCGCTGGGAAACAGTAGGCTCGCCCGCAAAGAGAGCAGCAAGATCAACCCTCGAGGAATCAAGAGAAACGAATTTGCCGACTGCATGGGACCCCTGGCTATTACCAGCGGGCGCGCTGCTAACGTCGTGTACTTCAACTATGGCTCGAAGCTCGGTCAACTCTCCGGTGTCCAGAGACACGTAACAGCCGGGTTGCAACTTAGGAGGCTCGTTAGCACCAGCATTTTCGAACGCATTCAGCAAAGTGCGATGAACTTTGTTTGTGTCCGCATGACTGGTGACATGTCCAATCAACGTCCCTGCGCGCAGAACGTCATACAAAGACAATGGTTCGTTCGAAAAAACATCGTTCACTCGGCGCATTGCATGTTCGAGCTCATCAGGGGGAATATCATCCGCGAGTTGGTTTACCGCCTCCTCCAGCAAAATCGCCGTCTGGCGGTCATGAGGCAGCCTCACAAACTTCCTGGCGCCAGGGAAAGGCATGGAACCTGGTACCGAGGACACACGCTCTGGGGAAATGTCCATGCAAAGGTGCCTCCCGAGAGTACTCGGAACGTTGGATTCCCAACTGCGCCTCATCAGCTGAAAAGTAGATAGGGAAGTTTGCCGATTCTGCGTTCAAGACCCATTGTGTGTCGCACACCAGGCCCGCACTTGCCTGAGGAACAACCGCTCGCAATTCAGCTCCCGAGCTGGTGCATTTGATGATGATACCAACAGCGTGGAGACCTAAAGAAGCAAAGACAACGTGCACGACGTCAACATTAAGGCGGGGATCTTCGCATGCCGTCACGCGTACACTGCCGCTCGGTACGTATCCTGCTTTGGACCCGACGCTGATGAGACGGAAGCTGGCCTCGCCATCGCGGCTGAGAAACTCACGCGCCTTGCCATCCAAGGTGTGTTGATTGAATGGCGCTGCCTGTACGGAGCGATGCTATCCACGATTCCAAAGCGCGCTATGGACCGAGAAAAACAAGTCACTGCTTGGCTTCCCTGATGCATGACACATTTCTGAGCCCCAATGATGGTCCGACGTCGTGAAGCAAGTGTGCAACGTGGGCAATGGGAACGAATACTTGCAACAGTGTCTGGTCAACGTCGGTGGCACTGCTCCAAAAGTGCGCGCCACAACGCCATGCAAAAACCTAGACACATGCTCCTCACTCCCGCTGAACACGTAACGATGCATGCCGCCTCGTTTCTGCCGCAATGTGGAGTGGATCCGTCGATGTTGGAATTCCGATTCCAAAACGCTCATCCTACGCGGATCTTCCACAGACGCCCGAACCATGGAGGAGCTGCGTACACGGCGTTCCTGCGCCGATACATCATTGAGGCCACATGCATCATGCTCAACCACAGGCACTTCAAACCTATATTTTGCTTGACGTGCGCCTAAAGCGAACGCATGCAAGTACGAAGAAACACTTGTATGAATATGACCTCGCCACCACCTACCCGGTCGGCTGCAAACGTGCTGCTTCACGGCAGCGCAAAACAGTCGCGATGACAATCCAGGACTTGGCAACGAGAGAGCATGACATTTCTGCCCGTGGAATCCCGAAGGGCTGCGCACGATATCAAAAACAATGGTTCCCTCGAGATTGCATCCATCCCCTAACGCAGTCTTCATGACTGCTGAGGACGTGCCCTGCACCAAAACTCGGTTCGACGCCTGTCCAATCTCTTTCTGAAAAGCATCGTGGTCATCATTGCAAAAAACTCCTGGTCGGCTCCTGAGGTCTTCGACCAACCAAAATTAAAAAAAACGTGGCATGAAAATTCAATGCCGCAGAAACTTCCGTGAACAGCGTTTCGAAAGCTCGGATGCTGGCTAGATTCTGCGCGGCCTCAACCGCAGAGGTCCCCGAGGTCAGAGGGATGTTGCCACTGCGGGTAGGAGTCCTCGAATGGTCTCGAGTGCCAGTGGGTCCACGGTGCTCTGCTTCCCCGACCCTGATCCCATCCTGCTACACATCCGAAAGCAAGTCGCATGGAAAGTCACACTATAGACAGTAGCACAACTTCAGCGACTGGTATTATTGAAACTCACACTACAAGCCCACCTACGCCGATTTCAATCAAACTCTCACAGCATCCCCCGCTGCCCAGTACAGCTCCGAATTAAGCTTATACAACAACGACTAGGACAACTCTCACATCAACTCCTACTACACCGGCGTGGACGGCATAAAAGAACTCAACTCGTAATGCACATCTTTGGCACACTACATACTGGTCACACGTGTTGTTGCGCAACGATAGGGCACACCGCACTATCGTCCGCCTCGCACCGCTTCTGCACCAATCGCGGCGCTGTGCTCCGAATTGTGCTCCTGGCTACGATCCCTGCCGGAGTAGTTAACTAAGACCACGATTAGGAACGCACCCCCTCGCCTGCTTCGATGGTGAACATATGTATCCAGGGATGGATGAATCCACATGTGGACGAAGGAAGAGAGAAAAGGAGCGAGAGAGAAAGACAGAGAGAGAGAGAGAGGGTGTAATAGGTAGCCCATATCCCTGGCGCGAAGGCGGAATTGGCCGAAAGCCACTTGGTATGTACGTTGAACACGCGTGTACACACATCCTGTTCCAAAGTCTGCTGCTATTCAATTTCCAGCTCCTCAAGCACATCACCTTCTTCATCCTCCACATTCGCTTCCTCCTCCCTTCCCCCCTTTCCCCTCCCCCCTACTTCTTCCACACCCTCATCGCCCCGGCTCCGCCTTTTTTCTCATCTTCATCATCCCTTCCCCCAAGTTGGGGTTGAACAGTTGTTTCACTTAGTGGGCCCTCGTGTTCCTCCTCCACCTCCTCCTCGTCCTCCTCATCATCCTTCTCCCCCTCCTCCGCATCCTCTTCGTCATCGACTTCTATCTCTGGACCCTTCCTTCTGAAACCATGGCGCAAGCGGGAGGCGGACCAGTTGCGCGTTCCCCGCCACATCTGCGTTGTAAGCGGCGTCTTCCCGCGACGAACCAACGTTCCTCGGCGCCGCCTGCTGCGCATCTCTGTTGTCGCTCCCCTGACCCTTCCACTACTACCTCCTCCTCTCTGGCATGACCATGCGGCAGACCACGGGTCGATCCGTACATCACGGGGGGTGGCGGGGAGGAGGAGAGCCAACGTAACCCCAACGGCTAGTACGCCCTCCCGTCGCGAGTGCCCTCATGAATCCCGGCACGCGATCCTTCCCGCTGCGGGGGGCGCCTCCCTTGACAGAGGAGCGCCCCCCTGGCCTGCCGCGGGGGCGGGAGGTTCCCATTCCGAGAGGGGACTGCCTCGACAAGACGAGCGCATCACGACCAAAAGGTAATTCAGTGGAAGTGCCCAAACGTCAGCCCCGTTTTGAACATGGGCATTGCTCCATCCCTTCAAGTGTTGCGACCAGCTGCACGTAGGGTCGTCCATTTTGGTGATGGCTCAAGCGAAGGTTTTGTTTGGAAAAGAAAACACCCACCATCCATGTAACTGGCCAAAAAATGTAAACCCCAATAACTCTCTGGGCGTAGGTGGTCTAAAGAGCTTCCTCTTCCAACCCCCCTCTCCCCGTTCTGGGAGGTAGTCCCACCAGCCCTTTGGGCGTGAGTGGTTTAGAGAGCCCGCTCTGTCCTCAACCCCCCTTCTTCCCCTTCGGGGAGGGGTTTACCCCTCCCCCTACCCCCTCCCCCTGGGCCTGGAGAGGGGGTCCCGAGCGTGGTAAGGGGGGGTCTTTTTCGACTCCTGGGAGAGCTAAAAAACGACGACCCTCACGAGGATTCTGGCCCCGAGGGGGGGGGCACCGTTTGGCGCCTCCGCTCGTCTTTGAAGCAAAAATCATTGATTTTACTATGGTTTTGGCCCCATGTTGGGCTTCTAAGGGGGCAGCGCTCATCGTCCTTCATAGCAAAATCATTGATTTTACGAAGGTTTTGGGCTCATTTTGTCCTCCTCAGGGGGCAGCGCTCATTTGCGCTTCTGAGGAAGTCGCAAGAGGCCCCAAGATGGCCCCAAGAGGCCCTCAGGAGGCTCCCAAGAGGCCTCCAAGAGGCCCCCAAGAGGCCCCCAGGAGGCACCAAGAGGCCCTCAAGAGGCCCCCAAGAGGCCCCCAAGAGGCCCCAAGAGGCCCCAAGAGGCCCCCAAGAGGCCCCCAAGAGGCCCCCAAGAGGCCCCCAAGAGGCCCCAAGAGGCTCCAAGAGGCCCCCAAGAGGCCCCACGAGGAGCCCGAACGACTCACACC